GTACTTCTTAATATTGATCCAGAATCCAATTATCTTCTATAAAATTACACAGAACCAGTAAGGATGTAATTAACTGCAGGACAATAGCCTTTGTTAAAAATAATTTTTTACAATATTTTTACATCTTTTAGTCATAATCCCTTCCTCTTTTTAAATTTTTATTTCATTTATGTTTTCATTTACATGGTTATCTTGATTTACACAGGAAACATCGCTCGATTTTCTCTAAAATATGCCATGTGAATCAAGGGATTATGTAAAATATTAATTATGTAAAATATTATCAAATTTATACCAAAAATAAAGGTTTATTTTGAATTTTTGAAGATATATGTATGATCGTTTTTAATCTCCTAACTATCACAAAGTTTATTGCACTTGGAACTCATTACCCTTATAACTGAAAAGTTTAGTAGCCATTTAGTAGTCACAGAAATACCGCTGATATTATCTGATCTCTATTCCTCAGTTGTAGCATACTGTGTCCTCTCTGTGAATAATAAAAAAGAGCAGTTGGGATCTTTTTTTTGTCTTTGGGAACAATAGCCAGCCCCAGGCTCTGAGAGTCCACCCTGCATTTTATTTCTGTATAATTTATCTTTCCAAACAAAAAACTCCTAGCACTGGTACTAACTATCCCATTTCTGAAATAATTCTTTCCAATAAGAAAGGAAGAATATTTATTTTGAGGATACAATTGCCCATCTATTTCAGAAACAAAGTGGTATCATCAGAACAAATTCAGTAACTGTTTATTATAGTCTAAATTCACCCTTTATCTTCCATAGCTTTATTCTTCAAGCATAATTCCAGACAGTTCACCATGCTCTTATTTTCCCTAGCTGGCTCTCTACCTTAACCAATGACATTATATACCTATAAAAGGGACTTTTGAACAAACTCTTTGTTCGACTGAATTGCTGGATCCAGTCTATACCGCTGCTGAAAAAAAACCCCAAACCTTTATTTGAAAGGCAGTAATTCCATTGACTGTAATTGTAATTTCATTTTAAGAATATTTCTCTTCCTAAATAATAAAATAAGGCAAAATTTTTTTTAATACCAGAAAGAAGAACAATCTGATGGAATCAAATCTACAGTCTGTGCACCTTCAGTCTGGATTGCTGCAAATTGTCCTATCTAAGGAAGAAATGGAACTCCCTGAAATCAAGCCCAATTACTACTAAAAATAAATGCCTGCCTACTTTGTAGTAGAGGCAACAATCACCGTGAATAACTCACAGGCCCTGGTGGAATATCACTGAATAAATAATCTAGTGCAAGGCCTCCGGTCTGACAGTCACAGCTATTTTTCACGTGTGTAATGAACGTGCCTAACCCCCTGGAAAAAACATTCCAAGTACCTAGACTATACCATTCAATTTAAAAAAAAACAAAACCAAAAAAGCCACCAAACAATTTAAAAAACCCCCAAAGATATTAAATCCGTATTTTAACACTTTCAAAAATGAAGGCATCACTTCAAGCCAATTACGCCACACAATAATTATTTCTTCTACAAAAGGGTACCACCATCACTATATGTAGAGACATGAAGTAAGCGCATTTCAGAATTAGTGTTCAGATTCCAGAAATCCCTGATTTTTAAAGTGGGAAACTTGCCAGAGCTAGCAGGCTTATTAAAGAATAAAGACATTTTCTTCTTGATGAGTAATACATCTAGAATCAGTAATGATTCCTGTGTTGCAAACTGATTTGATATTTACTTCATAGCTAAATATTACTGCAGTTTAAAGATGTTTCACTTATTTACAAAAGTTAACATCTGCCTTTGAAAAATTGTTCTCAAAAGCTCTGAGTAATGTAAACTCATTTTGCTGTTTTCCATTATTCATATTTTGTTTTCTAGATCTTCAAATGAAAAAAAGCCTCAAGTGATACCCATTTCAGGGATGGATATTGGCCTGGCTTGGCTACATCAGGCTGCAGTTAGAGAATTGCCCCCTGCAGAATGTGAGGGACTGCTTCATCCCCCCCAGCCCTTTTCCCAGCATATATAAATCCCACGTATAAAAGCCCAACACACAGTGTAAGCGTACATGTTATTTGCCTTTATACCAATCTGAAACCAAGATTATAGACCACTTTAAGTTATGTAGTCATTCTTCTTCTTTTTAATCCAACATTTTAGTTCATTAAACCAATCAGAAATGCATTTTCCATCGTTAGAAGATTACGAACAGAAAACCATTAAAGCACTTAAAAAAGCAACCATTATTAATGATTTAGTCCCTTGAAATACCAGTTATTGACTGGAGATAGTTTCCAGCAGTCTTTATTGCAATTACTGTACATCATTGAATAGTCTTTCCATGCAAACTCCATGAAATCAAATCATGAAAAAAGGGAAGTTTTGTTTCAGCCCACATTTTTTCCATAAAATCACCGTTCTTTTCCAGAATACAGTTCCCATAAAATAGTAGTGTACTGTGAGAGGAGTGTAGAATAGTTAGGGTATGCAATAATGTTGTAGCAAAAAGGAAGGTGTGTTGCATTCTTTTATTTTTTTTTTATTCTTCAAAAAAAAGACAAAATCTGGTTTGTCACAAAGCTAAGAGAAACTAAGATTTTAGTTTTGCAAAATTATTTTCTTTGATTAAAGGTCTCTCATAGGCAACTATGACGAAAAGATAAAACACAATCACCAGTGTAAAAAAACCCCAAAACTAAATATGTAGGATATCAGTTATTTGTGGAAAAGTCTGAATAATTTTAAAAGGGGAACTGCTACAAGACTTTCAGCTGCTTCATTTTCTTTCATGGAAGCCCATGACTACATGGGAACACAGTGACTTTTGGAAAAATGACATTTTCAGTCCCCAGAACATGACGGAGCCTAGGTAACAGCACCACAAGCTTCTCTGTAGTATTTTTTTTAAATTAGGTTTCACAGTACTGTTATGTAGAACCCATCTCCAAGAATGAAAAGCATACTACAGTCTCCAGCACCCATCCAATCCTTCACTTCCTACACACGACTACCAAATAAAGAGGTGGTTATATGGGTTACCCCATATCGAATGAAGTGAGATCACCAGCTCATTTCGTAAAAGACCAGGGAAGAACTGCTTTAGTTTAAAATAAGAAGGAAAGTAATGAATATAAAAGTTTAGCCCAAGAACCCAAAGACAGAAGAGACTCTCCTTTCAGGAGTTCCTGTTATGATTCATTTAAAAGAAATCTCCTGTCTTATCTGCCTTCTGGTGCACATGTCAATGCTATGGATTTCACATGTGACCCATCAGCATCTCAAGACAGCATTTGCCCTTTGATATCTAGATTATTAACAAACACAACGTCTGCCAACTTGTCAACTTTGTCTCACAGTAATTGCTAGTTCATATCTATTAATATGTTTGTTATTGGAAGATAATTTCAATCAGAATTCTTAATCCAGGACTGAAAGAATTGTTTTTAAATAATGAAGAAAATCAAAGCTTAAAACCAGTTTGCGTAACTAGGTCTAGAATTTATTACTCCTGAGAGAACAAAGATACAAAATACATGTGAAAACTACACAAAGATTTCTACAAAGTAAAAAGTAGAAAGTGGGAAAAGGGAAAGCTACAGTTCAGTGGTTACACAGAAATGTATGGCATGCATTAAAATATTGTAAATTCATGAAGTTTTTTTTAAGTGCAAATGGCTTTTTTTAACAGTTCTCACTGAAAAATATGCAAATTGATACCTATGTTGTACACTTGTCATATTATCAGAAAGACACCAACACAAATCTATGCATATGCACAACAATATGTCTGAAGTACATTTTGTGGTTTTGTTATTCGTAGGCACTGGTTACAAGTCTGTTCAATACTCAGGTTCAGAAATTAAGTGGTAGCGCTTATAGAACATTTCTCAAATACTACTAATAAAGGAATTTGCTTTTAAAATACCAAGAGGATGAAATAATTTGCATTGCCATGTAAAAGCATCCAACGACCAAAGAAGTATTTACAAATCATCAACCATACAGATAAAGAACAGTATCAAATACTCTGTGTAAAAAGATAAATAATTAAAATGTATATTCCCACATCACAAAGAAATGTGATCATACAAATTATGGCACCATATGTTTGTGAAACATCAAAAATAAATGTAGCACATAGATACCTCTTCTTATATTTTACATTAAAATGTACAGTACAGTGACTGTAAAACGTCAATGTCACAACACCCATCGTCTTCAAACTCTTGTTTCTGGTAATAGCAATTATTAGTAGAGTCCATGTTTATAAAGAAATTCCGTACTTCAGCCTTGGGCTAATATTGCTCTGTGATATTGCTAGACCATGAAACTTACAGCCTTAAAAAAGTTACATATTTTCTTTAAAATTATCTAATAGAAAGAGCTACTTGACATGTGAATATTTTGGGAGAAAGTATGACAGATGCAATCTATTTCTCTGTGTAGCAAAGTATGGGTTAAAAAAAACCTAACATTTTTATTTTTAGTCACAAATATCTAATTTATTAGAGAAATACTTTTTTTATTAAGGTTTATCTATTTCAAATTTTAATCATAAACAATACTGCAATTCTCAACACATAATTAGGGTTCTTGCTAAAGCACTTAAAACTTCCAAACCCTAATTATGTATCTCATTACGACAAATGGATCAGAAAATCTGGAACGCAACAGTGTTATGCAGCTCAAAATGCTGATAATCCTGTTTTGTACTCCTAGGGTAAAGAATGAGATAATTATAGCATATGGATGTATTTTAAAGGTTTGTCTGCATGTGTCCGTTTTTGGCCACATGCCAAATCCAAACAGAAGTACATTGTTAAAGGCAACCAGAAATATTACAGTTAGCACAGACTAAGGCAATGAAGATCTTTTTTTTCCTTTTGTAAAAAAATTAAGGTGCACAGAGAATTTTCTTTCTTGTTTTAATGGGTGCCAAATACTGATCAACAGTGCCAAGGAAAAGTAGTTTTACATAAAAGGAAAGACTATTAAAATCTAGAAATACCTGAATTGGATCTTTGATATCCAGATTTTTCCTGATTACCTGCAAAAGGAGTTGGGGGTGGATAGTTGGCTTCTGTGAGTTTACTGATGTCTGATGGTGGCGTTGGTGGTGGCGGTGGCAGCAAAGTGCTGTTAGGGCTACTAATATCTCCTTCAGCCACAAGAGTCAAGTCTGCCACGTTCTCATCATCTACCATCTGTATGCCTTCAGCTTGTAACTCTCTTGACTGCCTTTTCCATATCGTTGCATTGTTTTCCTGTGCATGTGGAATTGGAGACAATGCGGTATTAAAAGGAACACTGATAGTCTTCTGACTGTGGAGTGCTGTCAAAGCAGATTTATGTTTATTTTCTGAGTAACTCATTTTCTTAACTGAATTTTCATTAAAGTTTTGTACGGACTCCTGTTTTCCACTTGGTGATGTACATCCATCCTTGCCATCATTTTTTGAACCTCGCCCTTTAGGGCCTGTGGGAGTAGATGAGGATGGTTCTGGTCCAGTGGGCGGTAAACGAAGAAAGTCAGGAAGAATAAGGTCTTCTTTCCTTAGCAGTCCACGTTGGTCATCTGCTCTGTTACTTTGAGCTTTGGATATGAGTTCAAAAAATTCTATTGGGGAAAAACCCAAAATTGACAAGTTTTTGTCAGAAAGTGCAATGCCATTAAAACGCAAATTTTCAGCACATTTATTTTCCATGAAGATCTTCAATTCTTTCAATGCTGCCTTGAAATAAGATCCCATGTTAATTAGGAACTTTTTCAATTGCAGCAATGTTCACTAGCATCACTATAATTAAGACCATCAGGATTGCTATTGTAAGAGTTTTGCAGTTTAGAACAGCTGCAATTCACTGAGCCTTGAACACATCTTCTATGTTACGCAGTTAATAAATCTGTACATACACACAGGATTTTTAAATGCTTTATACAAAACAAGGCTCTGGTCTTACTGACAATGGGTGCGCATTTTTATATTCCGGATGGTTTTTACCCATCTTAACTCAAAAATAGTCATGCCATTTGAAAGTTCAAAGATTCAAAATGTTGCAAACTTCCTTATTATATTGAATTTCTCTCAGTTTAATAATATTTTATCACAGTTTAAATTCAATTCATGGTATAGTTTTAACCCAGGATGTTATCATCACAGGGCATGATCAGATGTTGATTTAAGTAACCCCATTTTACTTCGTGCTGCAATGAATCAGTAGCGTACAGGTAGTCAATAACCACCAAAGGAGCCATTAGGAAAAGCAATGGGGTTGTTTTGGTTTTTTTTTTAATAGAGTTTTTAACACAATTGGAAGTGATTTTCTGATCATGTCCTTAATGATGTCCAATGGTTTAATGTGTTTCTATATATAAATAATACTCATAGTAAATCACCACTGTTCTAGAAAGCCTCAAAACTTGGCAACAAGAAACTTATCAATCATAAGCCAAGAATTATACCACTCCTCAAAAAAGAAGCATCGCAACAATAAACAAACTCTTTGGTACAAAACATATAAATATAAAAATATGTAACTCTTAATATAGGGTCTCTGCATGTCCTAATTTTTCCAGAAGAGAACATTGAAACTACAGAATATTAAAGATGCTTAAAAAGGCCATCTCCAACAGGTGAATTAAAATCAATCAACCCAGCTTATAAATACTGTTTGAAGCAAAAGCCATTACAAAAAGCACACAATGTTAGTATCAGTTTTAACTTAGCATAACATGAAGTCATACACTTAACACTTGTATGACCTTATTCCTAATCCTCTATTCATATTTGGCAGGCTTTGCAAGGTATTTGTAAAAATGACTTTTTAACATGCTTTGTCAAATGCCATAAAATCTGAATGTAGCCAAGATGGAAGCTTCAAAATGCTTCTTATTGCCAAAGTTTTGCAAAATGGCGGTATGCATATTAAAACATGCAACATTTCTAATATGTGTCATACAAAAATGTTCCTTTCTGAAATTTCAAACTTCATAGAACAGTTGTTTGGCTTTTTTCATTAAAAAACAGTCTACAACATTTGGTACGTATTTTCCGAACTTGAACAAATTTCACAAAATTCAAAATAAAATGTGAAAGCCTCGAATTCTGAAGTTTTCAAATTATGTTAATGTTTTACTCAGCCCTAGGAAGAAAAATGAAAATATTAAAATATGGAAAACAAGTTAACAAAATAGTAAGCAACAGAAAATAATTTAAAATGCACTAATATTTTGTAATAACACTTATATTAACAAACATCTGTTTTGCAATAAAAGTTTCAGTCAAAGCATTTTTTTCTATTCCAGTCAGTGGACATTTATTCACAGATGAACATTCATTTGCTGTATAACTGTGCATAACCAGGTTTTGGATATGCATATTAGGTAACATCAGCAGTAAATTTTAACCTGTGGATAAAATATGTCCTCTGATTTTTCTCTACTTGGGAAAATAGGGAGGAATGTGCAGGGCTGACAAGATAAGTAATTCCTTCTGTTAATGCCCTAGGGCAGAGGGTGGTATGTCAAAATTTCTACTGCTACCTTGGGTTTATTCCTCTTTCTCCCATGGATATCTTTCTATAAGAAAGCAAATTCTCTTACGAGTTCTTTTCCAATATCACCAAAACTACTAAGATGCAACTGAAGGTAAAAAATAAAACTCAGAATATCCAAGATTACCCATAACTTCTTTGCTCATTTCTACTTCTAACCACCTTTTCAGAGCAGTTACTGAATGTAAACTAAGCTTTTACTCTTGCCCATCACAGCTCCTCCAGTGTCATCAGATTGTATTGCCCTGACGGTTACAGACTTTAGAATAAAATTTTCAAAAATTCTTACCTGAGTAAGTTCGGGTCTACACCATGGTGCAGAATGCCTTTCAGTGAGGTAAAGACTCTTATGTAAAGGTGAACATAAAGGCAAGCTTCTACATGGCTTGCAAAGGGTGTCAAATGGGATATTCAATTGCAATTGAGTAACTAATTCCTTTTTATTTTACCTGGAATTAGGTAGCTTTCACTTTTGAAAATCCCACTAGGCACCTACATCTATGTTTAGGTATTCTTAAAATTTTACCTTCAGCTTCAAAGACTTTACAATTCAAACACAATATCAAACAAAAATAAAAGGATCGTGACTATGATTTTCACAATACAGTAATAAACACACAGTACCTTTTCCTACACAGATACAAAATTCTCATTTTTCTAAGTCTACTTATGTTAATACATAAAGTTCACATACCCTCTGCTTCATCCAAATTTATTTTCTGACATTTTTTTTTCCCAATCTTTGCAATAGAGTCTTCTCTCTTTGACAGCCGGACTTCCCTAGCATTTTTTCCATTTTCGCCTTTCATTTTGATAGAATTAGACTTTCCTAGAGTTCTTCCCTCTCCCTGCATTAGAAGGAAAGTTAAGGTACTACTTACATTTAGGCTATATCACTGTGTACATAATATGGTCTAAGTGAACACAAAAGTTATTTTGAAAACACACTCCTCTAACGCCACCATAACAAATGTTTTAGTTTAATCTTGATTATTGCAAAGTACTTCCCAAAAATGTATAAATAAAATATTGTTTACTCTGAAGAATTCACATTACAGAAAGGGCCTTTGAATTTCAGAGTAATTCGATCATTTTCAAATATAGATAAGTCAATGAGACAAGAAACAACAAATACGACACAGTGAAAGAGCTATTTGATTCATCATGAAGACAAAGTTCTCACAAATAAATGCTGTTGACAGTGGAAAAATATTGGATGAATTACAGCTATACTCAATCTAGTTACATAATTTGGCTGATTCAAAATCATGGATAAATGCAGCTTTTAGTATAGAATTCCAGAAGGAAACAGATGATGATCTAAGGACAAAAATCATTGCAGAAAACTTACAGTAGATACTTGATTTCTTGAAGTAGTTACAGTTGCACTCTGTTTTACTGATGCACCTTTTTGTTTATCTGTAAACACTGAACATAAACATACCTTCTATAACTAAAAACGCATAATTTACCAAAAAAGTAATATTTAAGTGACAATGATGCATGAAACAGATTTTTTTTGCCTTAAATTTTCTCAAAGATGTACATAGAAAATAAAGAGGCAGCACAGTTGATATCCCTGATACTTTTCAGTCAAAACCTACCATAATCTCCCTCTTCAAATTTTCCTAATCTGGCAATACTTTTAAAGTTTAAAGATGATGCAATTGAATTTAAGTTCTCCTGAATTTTCAGTTAATTTAGATCAAATAGCTTTTAAAATCTCATCCAATAATTCAGTTTTTAATTCTCACATTTAAGTAAGAAAAAAAAAAATCAGCAGAAAAGACCGTTGAAAGGTCATGTTGAATCTTTTCCAACCTGTTTTGTGCATCAACTGTTTTCTAGACATTGCCATATCCTCCTTGTCTACTTCTAAGTAACTAAGTGGCTCCTTCAAATTACATCTGCCTACAACAAATACACTAATCGAAGACTGAGCTGCAAACACAGAATCATGGCTCTTTTTCATTGGTATATTGCCACAGAATGAGCCCACTGCTAGAATGATCCTCTATGATTTAGGCTTTTACAGCAGCTAGCAGCACATAGGATTACAGTTTTACTTGTAATACTTAAACTAATTATCTGTGAGAGTATTTAGATTTATACCTTTTTTCAAAATGACAATTGGTTCCATTTCCTATAAAAATGGCAAATGTGATTCTCCTCAATAAATACCTCCATCTTTAGTCTCCTAGTTCTTCCTCGAAGAGGATCTCTGCTCTAAGCCAATTTAATTTAACCACATGTAATTTCATTTTTAAAATTAAGTGTTCTATATGTATAAAAAGGTCTCCTAATGAAACTGAACCTTTCCTCTCAAGGCTGCTTACATTAATCTGTGTTAATTGTGCTAAAAGATTGTCAGCTGTTGAGCTGATCAACTTCTGTTTTTCAAATTATTTTGTCCAGGGAAATCAAAAATTACATCCTTTTTAGTATTATGTCCAGAAATCATTGGTCAAAACTGGAGATGTAGGCTCTGCTACTTTCTCACATTAAAGGGGATTGTCATAGCAGTACATATAGCAGCTGCACAACCTACATCTGTTTTACTTCTACAGAAAGTTTCTTTAGAATTAATTGCCAAATTCACAGAAGTTATTTGGCATTTTATTCTCATTATTATTACTGGGCACTATGTCCCTAAATGTGTGTGTGGATGTACACCTGAGTCTGAGTAGAATGTTCAAGTATTACTAGTGCAAAATTTCTTATATCTACAGTAAAGTACTTGGTATCAACAAATGAATTTAATCTTCAATCTTTAGAAACTGCACTCCTTTTTAGTTAAAAAGAATATATGCTATATGTGATATATCCAAATCTATTCACATTTACCTCACCTTCGCATCAACAGAGGAAACTAACCAAAGCCAGGGTTTACAAAACTGACTTGACATCACAAATAAAAACTTTTATGTCAACTTACCTCTACCCTTTGTTGGCTCTTTTTCATCTAGAACAACACGCTGACCATCCAGATTAGATATAGGGACACCAAGATCAAGTGGTTCCTGCTCACCATTCTAAAGTCGGATCACAGTTTGTATATAACAGAGAAAAAGCTGTTTTCAGAACAAGTTTATGCAGTCTGACATTTTTTGAAAGAAAATGAGGAAAGCATTTTTAAGTTTCAGTGTAGTCTCAATATATCTTTCTTCTACCGTTCTAAAAATTTTTATTCCAGTTGTGTAAAACTACCTTGATTACAATGAGTGTAAAAGTCATTTATGTGAGGAGAATGGCATTTGGGGAAAAGAAGGTACAAGAAGAAAAATATCACTCAATTTGCAAGCATGCACAAATACTCTAGGACCATTAGTGTGTATGCTCGGCAAATCATATTTTTCAGAGGAAGTTTGAAGTTATTTTATATTCTAAATTTGATGTACTCTGGTTAATTTTGTAATTTTATTCAGTGAGGTTATCTTTATACTAACATTTTTTCAGTTATTTTAAAAACATGGACTGGTTCAGCCAAGACAGTATACATTCTAGAAACACCACAAAAGTAACTTTCCATTTCTTGATATTCCATCAAAACAGACTAGAGAAAATGCTAGCCAAGTGTTTAGTAGTAGAGAAGCTGAATCAGTCTGCTTCCACAGAAATTTTCTGCGAGGGGATTTGAGGCCACATTCATGATTCCCAGGATAATGGAACTATAGCTTTAACTAATCTCAGTCAACTTTTTCTGGATAATAATGGGAAAAGTTGAGCTCTGGAAGAAGCTAGTTCAGGCTCTGTTATTTAGGATGTTGGGTTTATTCTGAAGGAGACTATAAAACAGATGCAGACTAAAGCTTTGAGGTAGTTACTATTAAGCATAATGGTTATGACTACTATGCATTTTCATCTCAACACGTAGTTATAAATACAGATTTTAATGCCTAATTATAAGGATAGGAATAATTTCAGGCACTATCGTATGATCTTCTCCAGACAAAAAATATTGCAGCTTGAATTACATCAAAAGATACTTACTAGTCTTGCCACAAGTTCATTAAGATTTAAACCATACTTTGCAACCACAGGCCTTAAGACCTCTGTTACTGGTTTGGTGGGTTTAGCCTTCAAACCAACTGATCGATTGATTGGAACAAGATCCAGCCTGAAATATATCAATTGTAACATTAAGTACAAAATATTCCAATAAACAAAATGCACAAAATATAGAAAATCCAATCTACAGCAAAGTTATACTAGTTTACAGCTAGTGACCCTGAAACTTCACTCGCACGAACCTATCCTAACGTGAAGGTATAAACCACTTTTAATACAAATAAAACTTCCACTGTTTCACTCGTCAGGGCTGAGTGAAGGCATGAGCCAACCTAATTCCATGATGATCCTCAGACCAAGAAGATACATTCCATAACACTTTCATCTTCACAGCGAGATTGTTCTGACCATTCTGGGCAAGGAGTGCTTCCAAGGTGACTCCATGCCTGTACTACAGCCTTGGATGCAACAAAAGTATTTCTTCTCACTTCCACAAGAGAGACTCATAATGTCCTTTTCAATTACTTGAGATGGGCTTGGACAGGCATTTTTATTTTTAAGCCTAGGAACAAATACAGTGGAATTCCAGGCAATGCTGACTTCTGGCTAGATGCCACCACATCACAAATAATTGCTGTAAGAGAAACTTACATGCAAAATCTGCAAAAGCAATTCAGTTGGAATGTAAAGGATAAAGACAGCTGTCTTCAGAGTATATTATGCAATTTTATGTAATTTCGACAAAACAGCAAAAAAAATAATGAAATAAGAATTTTTTTAAAATCCAAACAACTATTCCATTTATGCCTACTTCTCTGCACAGAACTGTGCCTAGTTTGGGTTGGTTTTTTTTTCAAATGCTCTTCATCTGTGCCCTGATTCCTCCATAACAGCCACATTTGAGTATAATGGCACTATAATACGAAAACAAGGGTAGGCTTATTACTAACAAAACTATCAGAAGAAACGTACATCATCAGAAGAAACAAAAATTATTAGTGATTTTGTCAGTCAGGATTAAATGTAAACCTCATCTTTTCTCTCACACAAATTACTTAAATACAAGATGTTTAGTCTTATTGACTTTTCCCTTCCACAAGTAACTTGAATAACTGGAACTTCGTCTTTCATATTTTCTTAGAATACAACAGCTACTAAATAGAAATGATCAATTTTAACCATTAACTGATTGTTGACACAGAAGTGGCAGACATGCAGGTATCCATGTAGTATTTCTCTTATATCTGAAAATATTCCAAGTATTTGAGTATTTTAGCTTACGCAGTGTCTACCCACAGAAGGAATTACTGTAGAACATTTCTACATTTTAATTAACACACAAGTAACATATGGTACTGCCTACTTATAATTCCTTTGTAATTTGGAAACTCAAACAACTCACACCTAATAAAAGACTGCTCAATCTCAATTTCAAAACTGAATATGCTATACCATATTCATTAATCTGACGTACCCTTAAATAGAAACTAGCCCTACTTCCTAAAGATAAGTAATATGAAGCCAAAATGAAGAATGCCTGACAAAATAAACTTTATTCAATTCAAAAGCGCAACTCAATACAGTAACAGAAACATTCTACTTCATTACTTTTTCCTGAAATAATTATTTCAGGGGTTTTCATAGCAGTAGTTTGGATTTTTAGAATTTAGGAACATTAGAACATTTTCTGGCATTTTGGAAAACAAATCAAAACATCTGATTTGGAAAAAAATGTATAGTATAAAATAATATTATGTAATGCTAAATATATAACATACTGAATTATATTACACCCATATTAATAATACTATTATAACATTGACTTGTTTAAGATTCAGGGTTATAAATCTATGCTCAGATGAATCTATATTTATACAATTAGTCTTACTGTAATCTGCCAGTTAGGCAGATAATTACAGATGTAACTGAATGGGAACATGTAATCAATAAATGTATCCATTTAATCTTTAATCCTAAATGCAACAATAAAAAAAAAAAAAGCCTTTGACTAGGAGACTGGCAGTTCAATTTCCATTTCATTCTTGTGCTGCTTCAACCTACTAAACATATCTCTTCCTGATGTGGAAGGTCCCTCTGGCCTTGCAGATCTGTCCTAGATGCTTGTTCACAACTGCTTCAGCTCAAGCAGTTACACATTGTAATAATATTTAAATGTCCCTAAACTGGAACATTGGCATCAAAATCCCACTTGTATCCAAGACAGCAATCCAGAAAGCTTCCTCTGGCAGCATTTAAAACTCACCAGGTGCTGCTCTACTCAGTTTGAAATGTTCCTGTAGGCCTCCCACTGATTCTTACCCTGGTTGTCCTCATCTGAATTACATTTTAGAGGTACCCCAATCTCACTATTACCAATCTCACTAGAGAGAGCACTTAGCAGCTGGCTCTAAATCCAGGGATTATCAGTGCCTAAACACGGGCAGGATATCTAATTTAGGCACTTGTGTAACTCAGAGAATCCCCATGCTAAACGTGTATCTCTTACCTAAGTGTTATTGCAATCTGAAGGTGGACTTTTACTTTAATAGAAACTCAAATTGTGAGTGAACTGCAAGAGGTGGAAGTTAATCATTTTCAGTTACAAATATTAGGTCACCTTCCTTCTTCACATGAGACTCTGCTTGATACTAAGACCTATTTCTTCTAATGTGCTTGTACAATGAATATAGTATATTTCAATCCCCTAATGCTGGATGATCTAAGATGGGAATATCTAAAATGTTGCATTGCATGGCTAACTGGATTTTTTACTGGATTCAGGCAAATTCTTTTCTGTATTAACTACTGTTTTACTGCACAGGTAACTGACAATACACTTTAGTGCACTTACAAAAAGTAAAATGGAAAATGGGGTGGGAAATGCCAGAAAAAGATAGTATTTTTGACTCTTACCGAAATAAAGTGCGTTTTTCTAGACGTAGGTCCCGAGACTCCAGGATGCTACTGTCTTGGTGCAATACAAGTGGCTACAGAGCACGTCAGGAACAAAAGAAGAGAGCGCAAATTAATTTTAAAATATGTAAAAAAGAACAGCTAAGTGCTTAAAAAATTTTTTCACATAACTCAAAAAATTATTAATATCGGTTGTATGCATTCTAGTGGATATTCAATATGCAACATGATTAAGTGTATTTTATTTTGGCTAGTTGTGAGACAATGATCAAACTTCAGCTTCCACTGGAGTCAGCAAGTGTATGGGGTTTGCATGGCAAGGTTTTGGTAGCAGGAGGGGTACAGGGGTGGCTTCTGTGACAAGCTGCCAGAAGCTTCCCCCATGTTCAATGGAGCCAATGCCAGCCAGCTCCAAGACGGCCCTGCTGCTGACCAAGGCTGAGTCCATCAGCCATGGTGGTAGCACCTCTGGGATAACATAGTTAAGAAGGGGGAAAAAACATCAGGAGCAACTGCAGCTGCAGAGAGGAGTGAGAATCATGAGAGGAACAACTCTGCAGACACCAAGG